AATAAATATAAAGATGGTGCATACAAAAGAAACATCACGTGTGCAAATGCAATGAAAAAATGTGCATGTTGTTCACTAGTTGATTATAGCTAGGTGTTAGCAGCCACTTCGATTAACAGATAGTACCTTTTCTTGGCAGTGCAGGAGGCCTCTTTCTTGTTTAAGCGATTTTCTTTCCTTGCGCCCATGGTGGAAGGAAAGAAAATTGAATCATCTTGGACTGCCTTAGATTCTAAAATAGGTGAACTCTCCCCCAGTCAAGGGAAATGGGGAAAAGGTAGTACAGATATGTCAACCCCCCAAGGCAGGACAGGATTCCCTGTATTTCCAGGTGTCAAAGAACCCACAGTGGAGGGGGAGTTGTAATGAGCCAGGTGGCACAGTCAAGGTAGAATTTGTCATATTGGTATGTTGCCACCCAGCGTTCAGCCTTCATAGTACTATAGGCTCCTTTCAGAAGAGAGGAAAATACTTAGCTATATTCAGGTGTGATAAGGCACATTTTTTATGCTGTTTAGTGAACATTGGGAGAAAATGTGACTGAAGACAGGCCCAGAAGTGTGGCAGGTCTAAATCAAGGATTCATTTAATTTGTGATCTAATGTCATTCCACATGGGTGAATCCTAAAACACTCCCACCAAATTTGTAGCATGGATTATAGCATGCTTCAGAAAAGAGAGATGTTTTTTTCTCTTCTAAGTGTAACCAATTTACTGTATATTCTCTCTTTTTCAATATTGTTTTTTTTTTCTTTAATCAAGACTTTCTCTATATGCTGCTAAGCTGGGCTCTTTATGCAGCTCACATATCTTCACGTATCCTCACCAACTGTAATACCCAGAAACCGCTGGACCGAAGATTGCTGGAATGTGAGCTTCGAGCACTGGGTTCTGTTTTGACGTATTGCTGATTTTTATGTACTGTATTATTTAGCTACAAGGCACTATCCAGGTCCAATGTCCAGAGCCTTGGCACAGCCTCTGGAGTAACCCAGACTCTGAAGACTTGTTAATGAGTCAAGCATCCAGAGCCACTACATTTATTGGTACTACCTTTTTTCCAATTGTTTCCACAAAAAGGGTTAAAGCGGAGCGACCAGGGTTGGACTGACCATTCGAGCACTTGGGCACTGACCGAGGGCCCAGGGTCAGTAGGGGGCCCCATGAAATGCCCCTGGTACCTTTTTATAGGCTTCTCTGGGTGTGCTTTGAGTGTGGGCAAAGACACAGGGGCCCCATTATCCCCTATTGCCCAGGAGCCCCATGAGTTGTCAGTCCGCCCCTTTGAGTAACAGTTAAATTTTTAAAAAAATAATAGCAGCTACAAAAACTGTAGCTGCTGACTTTTAGTACAGACATTTACTTGTCCCTCGATCTAGTGGTGTCCTTACCGCAGTTAGGTTCCCCGGGCTGTCCTCTCTCCCCGGCGCCGACATCTTCAGTGTGGGCACCTGGCTGTGACAGCTTGCGGTTTCACAGCTAGATGCCTACATCACATGCATGAGTAGCACTGCGCTTTGTGAATGGTCCCGTTGTCTTTACATGTCCCAGAAGACTATGGGGAGGACAACTTCCGTTTCCGAGAACCTAGGCAATCGCAGTGGAAGTGGGAGCAGGTACCTGGAAAATTCGGATACCCCCCCCCACTCCCCAATGGTGCCAATCCTTAACAGGGAGTGGGGGACGAAGCCTTAAAGCGGAACTTCCCCTTTTGGGTGGTGTTCCGCTTTAATGGATTCCAAGAAACGGATTTTACAATAAATACAAAAATCTTTTTTTTTTTTTTTAAATACTGTAATTACATAAATCATATTGCTACGTTATATTCCCACAACCCAATGCACATGAATCAGTCTGGGTATAGCATTGCTAGTATAGTGAGCCAAGTGGGATTTACTAAATTGGACACAGCTGTTATTCTGACAAGTCTCATGCAATGGAGGGCTAGAGGGGGAATGCACAAGGAGCCCAATTGAAGGGGAAATTCATTGGTGGTAATGTTCAGACAAAGTCCAATTAGGAAGCAGGAAGTGGGGAAGTAACTTGGGTAATTTTACCCACTGTCCTGGAGATCAGAGGCAGTTGCAAGTTGCAAATGATTGGTCCGAGTCAACAAGTCCATTGTTTGTGTACCTGTAGTCAGACTTCTTTCTTGTTATGGTTTGATATTCAAACCATCAAACTACTGGAAAATTGTTATGAAGGCTAATGGCCCTGATTTAAAACACAATCCTTACAGGATGCAGAGTGTCCAGGCAACATAAACGATCTATAAGCCTATGGTTATTGATGTGTAACTTGAGTTCTCCTTGACTAAAAATACACTTTGGAACAGAGAGACGCAGAGCAAGCCACACTTGACAGTTTCTGCTTTACAGTAAGACAGGCAGATTCTGCAGGCTTCAATTTGCATCCGACTTGTCATTCCACGGGGTATATAATTTAATGAAAATCCTTGCTCTAGGATTGGCTGTAGAGTATGAGTCTGGTGCTTCTAGAGACAGTTACGTTTGGTTACGTCACACTCCAGGCTGGGCAAAACCTGACACTGACATTGAAGAGAAAAAAGAGTGATGATGATGCCGGGGGAATCAGTGCTTTTGTCCCTTTGTAATGTTGAAAATGACTGCTAAATCTGGAATTAACAATGTGAAAAAGGTCACTACGTCTGGCAACGGTGAGTACTGTCTGCAATCTGAAACCGGTCAGAAGTCTGGTGTTACCCCAAAGAAAAGAATATTTAGTCATTTGTCAGTTTTCACTTTGTGCACAGTTTAGGTGATTTACCTAGTGTCACAGGATCATACATATTATTGCTACATAAGCATTTGTTATAATAGCATTTTGCTTCAGTGCTCCACTAATTTTAGCAGAGCTGCAAGATATTATTCATTAGAGATGTAGTTTGTTTTCCTAATTCTGATTATTAATGGAAAGCATGACTGTTACTGAGCTTTGTTGAGCACCTCTTTCAGGTTTGAGGTGAAAGGTGACACATGAATGATCACTTAATAACTGATATGTAAATCTCTGCAAAAATAAGGTGATATTCGTAGGGAAGCATTTCATATATTCTTTGCGTCGATAAGTGATTTACTATAGGATTTGTTTCATTGTAGCCTGTGACCACTTCAGATAACCAGGTACAGGGTGATGAGTTTATTTGGGGTGAGCACAGGCTAGGATGGAAATTACTACTTTAGTAAATCTGCATCACTGTATTATGCTTGTGTTTTATCAATAAGGCAAGAACATTAAAGAACAATATACAGAATCGAGTGAGATTGAATAGCTGTGGTTCTGTAGGTATTGCTTTATTGCTATATTGTCATTGTTAAAGCGATTGTAAACCTTCATTTTTTTTTTTTTTGTACCTATCTGTTCTGTGCAATGTCTTTTAACTGTGTTGATAGTCCTTTAGGCTTTAGTTACTATTATAGTTCAAAGGAGTTGATACTACATTTAGGCTGTTATTTCTTCTATTACTGTGGTCTTTCGTACTGTGAGTATTTACTTAAAATAGATAAAATGTGATAAGATGTGTACAAAGAGAGGACTTCCAAGCAGTATTCTTCTACCTTCTATTTTTTCCTAGGACACCCATATTGCTGCCTTTACTTAGAAACCATTTACATTTATTTAGTGTATCTTGTTAGTGCATATAGTGATCCAATAGTACAGAGAGCATTCTACTCACATGGATACTAACACATAATCACATATATGGACACAATGTGCATAGTGTTTGAGATTTAATGTTATCTTCCATGCAACATAGATTTAGTATGGTTTATATACTAGGTGGTTTAGCATAGCAATGATTAACAAATATATTTTTTTGCATTATTTTGAAACATAATTCCACATTTTTAACTGGTCTCGTGGCCTTACGTTTAGGCAGGGCTAGATTTCTGAAAAGCCAACATTGGCAGGGCACACAGCCAGCTACACATCAAGCTGCTATCTGTTTGTAACACAGTCCCATATATGATAAGTTTCCAAACAGACAATCTACTTCTCAGTGTGATCCGCCTGGGTCCCTGCACAGTTTATGATTGTTGGCGGAATAATGTGTTGTTACAGTTCCTCCACTCGGACAGCTTTCATTTGGGAAAAAAACTGCTAGCAGTAGGGTGAGAGTTTTCCCTGACCACTGTCTAGTCATTTTAACTAGGCTTATATTGTTAGTGTGATATGAAGGTTGGCCATTTGACTGGCAAGAGAAAGGGGAAACATAGCCCAAAACAGTGGACTAATGGAAGCAAAAAGTAAAAATACGGACCTCATCCAAGGCACCAGATATGGATGAAAGATAGAATCATCCCAGTTTTCCATCGACCCTAGAATCAAAACCATAAAGAGTCACTGTACTCCAATATAAAAAAATGAGAATTTTAGAATAACAGAGTATTCTGACAATGCAAATTGATGTCACAATGCAAATTGCGAAGTGTGAAATACAGACAAGTACTATTATCTATGTAAACCAGCCTTTCTCAACCAGGGTGCCCAGGCACCCTGGGGTGCCTTAAGGTTTTTTCAGGGGTGCCTTGGCAAAATGTCTAAAAATTGCCCAATACTTGTATACAAGCCAGCGGGTGGAACAAGCCTACCTTTTAGTTACACAAAGGCACAGGTTTTCATTGTGCACCATTACGACCTTCTAGGCGCCGACTTTCTGACAACCAATGACATCATCAGTTGATAAGGAGGATGTATGCTACCTACACAGCATCCTAATTTTACCCTCCCCTGCTCTTCTCCCTCAGTGCTGGGGTCACATTAGCTCAGTGATGGAGAAAAACTGAGGGAGAAGAGAAACACTGGAATACTAGTCAGTACCAGTGTGCCAAAGTGTATTTGCTTTGGAATAATAAATCACCTCCAATGTTGGGTGTCCTACATGTGTGGATGTTGTTGCATTATATAAAATTATCAGAATAGTTTTTCACATTTTAGAATGGGGTGCCCTTTTAAAATGATGGACAGTCTTGAGGCGCCCCATTTTAGAATGGGGTGCCTCAAGACTGTCCATCATTTTAAAGGGTGCCTTGGGACTGTCCATAATTTTAAAGGGTACCTTGACTGAAAAAAGGTTGAGAAACACTGATCTAAACTATAGTCAAATAAATGTTTTATTTTATTGTTTTTTTTTTTAGAAGTTATTAAAGTAAATAGTCTAAAACATATATTGTTTAAAGTAAAGAGGCTAAATCCAAGAACAATAAATGTGATTGATTGAGCTGTAGCAAAAAGCCCTAATTTTGTACAGGTTTAGGCTTTGAGAAATAGTATAAAATGAGGCAGGTCTTCTGATGACTCATCAAGTCTCTATGGTAAGAAAGGCAGCTGAAAATACATGACATCCTGCTGTTTAAAGAAAGACTAGATGTTATATTTGTCATGTTTAATATATATATATATATATATATATATATATATATATATATATATATATATATATATACAGATAGATAAATAATAAAGTTAAAGAAGTACAGTCAAAGCTCTTTTGGCTGTACTCCTCCTATGGATCACAGGAGTGCAGTTCGTTCTGCACTCCTGTGACCTGTTTTCAGCTGCCAGCGGGCTAAAGCCTGCTGTCAGCTGACATCACAGAGCTGGACCAGCCTGGGGAAAGATCCCGATTTTAAAGTTGGGATCCACTCAAATCTCTGGGCCAGCACCTGGCTCAGCCTTTCAGCGATCCACTGAGATCCTGGGACAGCCGCTTCTGCCCCCTTCACAGCCTGGCAGTCCAGTGAGTGCGGGAGGAGCAGAGCAGAGAGCGGTGACTTGACAGTCACCGCTCTCTGCTCAGAGCACCAGGGAGTATTGAGCGATCAGCAGTCATGTGATCACTCAGTTCTCACCCTTGAAGCGGGGGGGTGGGAGGCAGATGCAGCCTCGGACCAATGCTGCATCCACCTAGGTAAGTATGATTTTGAAATAAAAACAAATCCCATACTTCTATTTTAAATAACATAAAATTGCCTTAAAACCATTAGAATTGCGTCACACATTTGAAATGCGATGCCACACAGTACCATAGCATGCAGTAGTGTTTTTTGTGATATTTTTCTGATTGGCACCCCTGCATACTAAGGCAACAGACCCACATTGCAGTAGTGCAAAGTAAAGCATGGTAATGCACTACAGTGCTTTGTGGTTCACTGCGCTCAGAAGATAGGGTCAGGTCCATTTTGTTTTTTGCTGCACTGGGAAGTGTTGGCAGCCCATTCAAAACAAAGCTGTCTTAACGCAATGTACGTTAATGCGTGGCACAATGGACATTACCATTTATGTGGTAACGCAGCACAGCACAAATGAATAAAGGGGCCCCTATAGTTTTACCTTTCCAGTTAGCATTAGAATGATCGCAGCTAGCAGTGGATTGGTGGTAATGGCCACCGCAGATGTTTTAATTTCCAATGCTTGTGATACATGACACATTTTTGCACTTCATGCATTCTAAAATTATCGGGAAAGAGGATCTGCATGTTTAGTATACACTTAGGGTAATTAATTTTAAATTAATTATTTAGTTTCATCATAGTTCCCATGATATCTAGCCTCTTTAAGGATATAGACAAATATTTATGATTGTTTCCATGTTTTCCTAAATTAGTATCATTGACAACATTACCAGTAACACACATTTGCAATCAAAGCGATTGCTGGCAAATGCTATGCAGAGCCAACACAAGGTGATTTGCACAAAGCTACGTGTAGTTGTACTTCAAAGACAGATTATCACACCAAGAGTCTTTATCTTTCTTGCTGGGTGAGCCTTTGTAAATGTCACTATTTTTATTCATCACTGGCCTGCTTGCCTAATTTCTCTAACAGTTAAAATAGTTTTAAATGTCAGCAAATACAGAGATTAGGACTGAAGAAAAGCACTCTTTGTATATGTCTTTCTTTCTCTGAACCTTTAAAAATTAGCTGAAAAATGGAAAGGCTGGGATACGTGTCAGGAAGCAGGATAAAGCCAGAGATACATTTTTGATTCCGGATATCAACCCCCCTTGAGTTTTGGCAGACAGATTAAACTATGTGAATAGAAGCTTTTTTTAGTCTTACTGATTGATCATTTGTTTATAAGAATATCATCATAGAATATCAAGAATATCAGGAATGCCGTCATTCTTATTTTTATTGAAAAATAAGAAATATATATTCTGTAAAGCAACTCATGGTTATTTTTATTACATACTTTTACATGAGTTTTCATCAAATGTTCTTGTACATTACTGAATTTAGTTTGTCTCTGCATTCAAAATAATCTACTCCTGTCTACTCTCTACTTGACCTGGATAATGTTAAATATTTCAGTGTCTCTAAGAGTCCAAAAAAAGGCTAGTTGGAAGCTTCTTAATACCTCCTACCCAAACACTTCACAACCCTCTATCAGTGGTCTTAAAACTTTGACCCAATGGCTAGATGCTGCCCTCTGCTTGCGTTTATCTGGCCCTTGAGTCACTTTTCCTTACACTGATATGAAACATTATTCCTCCCACTGACACCAACAATGGGGTGCTATTCCTCCTACTGACACAAATGATGGGGTACTATTCCTCCCACTACCAAAGACTGGTACTATTTCTCCCACTAACACCAATGATGGGGTACTATTCCCCCCACTGACACCAATGATGGGGTACTATTCATTTCACTACCAGTGATGGGGTACTATTTGTCCCACTTACACCAACAATGGGGCACTATACCTCCCACTCACGCCAACGTGTGGCTCCCCTAAAGTCTGAAGGACAGTAAACTGGCCCTTTGTTTAGAAAGTATGAAGGCCCCTGCTCTGTATCATCTCTAAACAATTTCACAACCCTCTATATCAGTGGTCTTAAAACTTTAACCCAATGGCTAGATGCTGCCCTTTTGCTTGCCTTTATCTGGCCCTTGAGGCACTTTTCCTTACACTGATATGAAACACTATTCCTCCCACTGACACCAACAATGGGGTGCTATTCCTCCTACTGACACAAATGATGGGGTACTATTCCTCCCACTACCAATGACTGGGTATTATTTCTCCCACTAACACCAATGATGGGGTACTATTCCTCCCACTGACACCAATGATGGGGTGCTATTCCTTTCACTACCAGTGATGGGGTACTATTTGTGCCACTTACACCAACAATGGGACACTATACCTCCCACTCACGCCAACGTGTGGCTCCCCTAAAGTCTGAAGGACAGTAAACTGGCCCTTTGTTTAGAAAGTATGAAGGCCCCTGCTCTATATCATCTCTAAACAATTTTGCGCCATAATATCATAGTAAACTACACTCCTCAGGGATGATATCCTCTTCCTATTTCTCTCTCCAGACATCTATGTTTACCTGTAAACTAAAATATTTGGAGAAATAGGAGAACTTGTGGGGGGAGGTTCTCCTAACAGGTTTTCTTCTGCAAATATAGGTTTGACGTTTCATGCAGGTCTGAGGGTATTCATGGCCTGTCTTAGATAAGCTGCCAAAGTGACTACTAAATCTGGAGCAGACAGAATTTGTAGAAATTGTTCACAGCAACCAATCGGATTCTATCTTGTTCATTTATCCCTTTAACAAGGCTTCTATGTTGTGTGACCACTGTGATTAACGTTCACATTGGTCACATGATTGGGAGCCCATCCTGCTGGGAGCATGCAGTGTGCATTTCTTTAGCACACAACCTCAGGCCGCCATGGGCACATATGTGTGGTGGCTGGGCATTAAAGCCTATTTTTCTTTCCACCACATTTATGCATTATGTGATCAGCAAGAGGTTAGACTTTATAAAAGAAAGATACGAGGGGCAGTCAAGTCACACCGGGACTTTTCATTTTACTGCTATAAAAAGGGATGCTAGTGTTGCACATGTCTCGGGCCAGTTCAGAGACCATTTATTTAAGATTGCAGACATGTTCATATGCTCTTTGCTGTGAAGGCCAGTTATAGACTGGGGCAGTGGCCGTTTTTTGTACTGTTGAATTGTTGGTGAGTGGGTGCGCTGGATACCTTGGCTGCCATTGTGCTACAGTATATGCTGGGTGTCCAGTGCACTCCTGTACCTTTAAGGAGGGGTGGGCACCCTCAGGTCCACCTGCCCTTGGTCTATCCATTAAATACATGTGCCTCTACTATGAGGACTCTCAAAATTTGTAGAGTTAGGACTACAGAATATCGGGGTGCCGTGATGAGGCTCTGTAGCTTACGTATGTGTTTGCAAATGTGTGCTAACTAAACCCCTGTTTTTAACACATACTGTTAGACAGGTTAATTCAGTTTGTTTGCAGGCTGGCTGGCAAATTGAGCTGGGAACTTTTCTCTTTTGTTGTTTCAGAGAAAACAATGCCTAGTTTTCTGTGATACTTAATGTATCCCCTGTACCTCGCTAATACCTAATAACGTTTTTGTAAAGAAAATATTCTACTCTTTTTTTTTAAATCTACCGAATGATCACAAATTTGTCTTATGTGAATTAAATATTGTATTGTGATGACTCATTAGTATTAATGCCATCATTGAGGCTACATAATTTCAAAACAAAAAGCAATTCTAGAAGTTCTTTGCAAGATGAAGGTGTTAAAGTAGAAGTACATTTGATTATGGTGCGGTTGTGCAATAATCTCACCTTGTAAGGTGTCAGGAAAGCAGTAAGATGTTACCTGTGATCTGGTGCGATATGTGAGCTACACAGAAGAAGATGGCGTTACTTAAGTAAAGACAACACAATCTATTAGTGAGCATGCAACATACAAAACATAACACATACATAAAGCAAACCAATGACTAAACCGTGTAAACATGCATACAATTGATGCAAATACTTACCTGTAAACTGATTAACTATGTACAAATAATCTCAGGGGAACAGGCAAGGGCAAAAAGAGTAAACCGAGATCAGACAAGGGGCCGAAAAATCAAACAGCTGTGGAGAACTTTACCTGTAGTTTTGGATTCTACTGTATAATCTAGGCAGTAAAAAGGTCTGCTGTGTGATTATAGGGATGGTCATACCCAATATCACTTTGGTCTTAGTGGCTGAGTGCAATTCATGAGTGAGCATTGGGTCATTAAAGTCTAACCTAAGAAGCAATTTTAAACATTTCCAACACAGAACATGCTCATTATTATTAACCCTATATGTTATGCATCAGTCTGCAGCAGATGGAACCAATCCCCAGACACCCATCCAGCCATCAATCAGACATCTGCAGCTACATATACAGGGGTTAGATAAACAAATGGAAACACTACATGCTTTGCAGGTGTGAAAGTAATGACATGTTTTGGGTTGAAAGCAAAAGTGATGTAACATTTTTTTTGCTTCCGTTGTGTGAGACATCTGCTACAAAAGTGACTGCAGAGCTCAATCTCAGACCTGGGAAGACTGAGATTGAGCTCTGCAGTGACTTTCGTAGCAGTGGTTTTCTTATTCTGGGTCACAATCCTGTGCAATGTCCTTTTGTCTCTTTCGGTCTGCTGACCATGTCTACCACACTTTGCTTATCAGACGACATTTTCCCAGAAACTGTATATGCCGTCATAACCTTTGATACTGTACCTCATGACACAGCAAATAAATTGACAACTTCAGTAACATAGGCACCAGATAAGTAGCCACCAACAATTTGCCCTCTTAAGCTCAGTAAGCTCTGACATCACTCTGTATTACTAGCTGCGCCCACAGTGAATGATGAAAGTGAGGCTTCCCATCTGTTAGCTATGTGTCTCATCACTCAGCGGAAAAAAAGGAATGTTACATCACATCTGCTTTCAACACAAAACTTCACTTTCACTCCTGCAAATCATGTACTGTTTCCATTTTTTTGTTTAACCCCTGTAAGTGTAAAATCATAAGATGAAGACAATGTGAGGGAGATTTACTAAAACTGGAGCATGCTAAATCTGGTGCAGCTCTGCATAGAATCCAATCAGCTTCTAGGTTTTATTGTCAAAGTTTAATTGAACAAGCTGGAGTTAGAAGCTGATTGGCTACTAAGCAGAGCTGCACCAGATTCTGAGCAATCCAGTTTTAGTAAATCTCTCCCCCTCTGGATTTTATAGTCTTTATTGAAATGAACTGCACTTGCCTGGAGCCCTGTAAGACAATAGGGAACATACTGCCTGTGTCTGGTTACTCAGGCCAACAGCCCACTTCTGTTTTCTCTGTGCACTCGGTGTACCATAACAGGAACAGTGATCGTCTAGTGGATTTTACATAAAACATTTGAGAAGTACAGAAACATGAATAAAACATACCTGGAAGACAACAGGAAACACTGTCTGGGCAACAGCCCACCTATATCATAAGAGAAAGTTATTACAAAACATGACTATATACAGTTTACAGGATTTCTAAAACTGCATAACATACAGAGCATATACTGATAACATTGCAGTCTGGTGATCTAATCCAGCCTTTCTCGACCAGGGTGCCCAGGCACCCTGGGGTGCCTTGAGGTTTCTTCAGGGGTGCCTTGGCAAAATGTCTAAAACCTGCCCAAAACTTGTATACAAGTCCGCGGGTGGAACAAGCCTGCCTTTTATTTACACAAAGCCACAAATTTTCATTGTGCACCATTACGACCTTCTTGCTGCCGGTGTCCTGACAACCAATGACATCATCAGTTGATAAGGAGGATGTCAGCTGCCTGTGCAGCATTCTAGTTTGATCTTCCTCTGCCCCTCTCCTTCATCGCTGGGGTCACATGAGCTCAGTGATGGAAAACACTGGAATACTACTCAGTACCAATGTGCAAAAGTGTATTTGCTTTGGAAGAATAAATCACCTCTAATGTTGGGTGTCCTACATGTGTGGATGTTGCTGTGTTATATAAAACTATTAGAATAGTTTTTCACATTTTAGAATGGGGTGCCCTTTTAAAAGTATGGCCAGTCTTGAGGCACCCTACTTTAGAATGAGGTGCCTCAAGACTGTTCATAATTTTAAAGGGTGCCTTGGGACTGTTCATAATTTTAAAGGGTGCCTCCGAACAGTACATAATTTTAAAGGGTGCCTCGGGACTGTCCATAATTTGAAAGGGTGCCTCGGGACTGTCCATAATTTGAAAGGGTGCCTCAGGACTGTCCATAATTTTAAAGGGTGCCTCGGGACTGTCCATAATTTTAAAGGGTGCCTTGACTGAAAAAAGGTTGAGAAACACTGATCTAATCATACATCACAGTGTTTGCGCTCACATAATGCAGGCATCTTCATATACAGCAGCCACTTTACAGTCTACAAGTGCTGCGCAGCTTGTCTTCAACATAAAGTTGACTCACACTCTAGGCTACAACTACTATACTATATTCACTATACTACAAGCTATAAAACCCGCTATAACAAAGGAACAACCTAACATAAAACTGAAATTTGTATAGGCTGACTATTGTCATAGAATCCTTCCTTTCCAAAGGTTCCCTTGTGTACTAAGGGGACTAAACCAAATTCATAGCACAGTAAAGAGGCTGCGTAGCCCATACAATGCAATGAAAACCTGATTCTTGCTGCTGGAATTTGCAGGATGTGCTAAGCACCCATTTGAATGTAGCCTTACAAAAGAAGACCTGTGTTACAGGCATGTTTCTCTGAACATTCAAGGCTGTGAAATGCGGGTACCACTTGTACATCATTTAGCCCTGTCCAGCTGCAGCCTACCATAAACTTTGACAGGCTGCAGGCAGAAAGCCATTTGGGTGCACTAGAATGCCAGGAGGGACGCTCAACAGTTAGACGCTCCTACGTGCAAGTAGTCTATAGGATGGCTAGGCACTGTAATATGTGGATAAAAGCTATGCATCTTCTAATTAAGAAATTATATGTTAAAGGTACATTTTTACTGATTTTCTTTTGTTACATTAAACTGTGCTAATGTTAGACTTAAAGTGGTTGTAAATCTCAGAAATGAAAAATGAACAAAGCATATCCTTCTGTAGTGTGTACTTGCCTCAATCGAAAGCACCTAGTTTTAGTTCTGTCTACCTTCACATTCCCCTGCTGTCAGCATGAGTCACTTCTTAGGCCCCCTGTAAATGGGACACTTCTGAATGATGTAAACCGACTGCTGGAAAATGTAGGTTAAAAAACGTCTGTTTAGCCGCGTTTACATAACGTGTTTATGCGCGTTTATTTGCGTTTGTGTTTAGAAACGTTTTTTAAAGTTAAGCACAGAAGAACCTCCAAATGCCCAGAATGCACTGAAAAGTGGTAAATTATTAACTAATTCAGACTGTTTCAGAGAAATGCAGAGAGTAGAAGTGGACACAGCAGTATGTGTTGAAATTAGCTTACAAATGAGTTGCTCATTAACATTTCTTCTGTTTCCAAGGGTGGGAAAGGTGTCTGGTGGAATGAGTCCTTAAGGCCACCTGACAGGGGGTCTTCAGGAGGAATTTGTGGTGTGAATGGGCATTAACATATCTTTTGTTTCCAAGGGTGGGAGAGGTCTGAGGTGTGAATTGGTCATTACAATGTGTGACAAGCTTGGTAGGAACATCCTGTGTTCAGTGTTTTGTCCATCTGAGTCCCTTGAAAATGCTTTGCATGCATTTTTCATGATGGAAAAAAGGCTTTGGCCAGCATTGGGAACTGGAAGAGTTAAAAAAAAAATTTTCAGATGCAAATGCTTATAAATACAATTTGCCACGTTTAGCCACATTTACAAGCATTTTGCGTTTGAAACGCTGATAAAATCGACTGCTGCATTAAAAAAAAACGACTGTAACCTCAAATGCCTGTAAACGACTGTAAACGAAGATGTGTACATGGACACATAGTGAAACATTAGGATGAGTTCAGGGGCTGCTGAAAAAAACACAGAACAGCACCTAAACGTGCGTTTATCAGCTGTAGTGTACATGAACCCTTATAGTATAACTGGACACCAGGCAATCCCAGGAGAAGGTACCACCCCCCCCCCCTCTCAAGCACACCTCAGCTGTGCATGTTTCCTCATGAGATTGTGTAGAGGGAGTGTTTCCCTTCCTTCCACTCAGGTCTCAGATTACACTCAGCTATGGGAGTTGTGCAGTGTGTGACATCAGATGCTCGCCCCCTGCCTCCTGAAAGCTCAGAAACAGCCTTTGATCTGTTTGATTAAAAGGCCATAAAGGGCAGAAGTCTGCAGAAAAACAGCTACAGTTTATATAGGAGGATTTGTTTAATCTTTGTGTATTACCTGAGTGTAGTTACTTCAGTTGGTATATATAAAGGCTTACTACCACTTTAAGATATTTAGATATAAGTATACGTTCACTTTAAACTGTGACATAACGCTTTTTTACATTCTTTAAGCAGTATTGTTTTTTTGCATTGAATAATAATGAGCATAAAAGTCCTAACACTTTATTTAGGAGCTACCAAGTGTGAATTACAGTGAATGCTATCAGTATGATGGCTTTAACACGATACTACGTAATTACTAATACTGTAGCAGCTCTTGCAGTGAAAATACCCCAACAATCATTAGACCAGCATCATGTTTATAAAGTAGAGCATTGATTGCTGTTCTTTGTAGAAAATGAGGGAATTTGTCTGTATTTTTAGTGATGACTCTGTGTGATTACCAGACCTACCGTAAATTAATCTGTTAAAGCTTAACTCCGGTCAGCATGTAAAAATTGCCATCTATGTACCCCCCCCCCCCTTCCTTCAATGCACATTGAGGGTTAACTACTCATTTAGTCTATGGGAAAGTAAGTAGAAATACTTACTTTTTCCTTTTTCCCTTGGCAGCCAGCTCATTCCTCTGCTTTCCTCTGTGGACAGGCTCACGACATCCTCAGCGTCAGAGCAGTATAAAGGAGCAGCATCGAGGGACCAGTCATACGTCAGGAAAGAATCAGGTAATCAGGTAAGTATTTCACCTTGTTCCTTGCCCCTAGATGAGCAGAACTAAACCCTATTTAAATCTAGTGTCGCACAGGTGATCGCCTATGACACCAGCCATGAAAGGGCTTGAAAGTCCAGCTGAGAGCTAACATAAGCACACTTGTAACTGTAACAGTTATCAACATAGCCATGCCTTAATATAACCATTTCAGAAATCGGTTACATCCGTGGGTTTTACTTCCACTGTAAGTATACATTTTGGGTGGACATTAGGGTCAGTTCATCAACCACTTGCCTACAGGGCACTTATACCCCCTTCTTTACAAGGCCAATTTTCAGCTTTCAGCGCTGTCGCACTTTGACAATTGCGCGGTCATGCAAGATTGTACCCATATGAAATTTTTATCATTTTTTTCTCACAAATAAAGCTTTCTTTTGGTGGTATTTAATCGCCGTTGGGCACTTTACTTTTTGGCTATAAACAAAAAAAATTGAAAACAAATTGAAAAAAATATATTTTTTCTTTGTTTCTATTATAAAATGTTTCAAACAGGTAATTTTTCTCCTTCACTGATGTGCGTTGATGAGACAGCACTGATGGGCACTGATAGGCAGCATTAATGAGGTGGCACGGATAGGTGGCACTGATAGGCAGCACTAATGAGGTGTCACAGATAGGCGGCACGGCACTGATGATGGGTACTGATAGACAGCACTGATAGGTGGCACTGACTGGCAGCACTGCTGGGCACTGACTGGCGGCACTGCTAGGCATTGACTGGCGCAACTGATGGGCACTGACTGGCACAAACGCTGGGCACTGACTGGTTGCACTGACTGGCAGCACTGCATTGATGGGTACTGGTGGGTGGCACAGGTGGGCACAGGTGGGTGGGCACAGGTGGGCACAGGTAGGTGGCACTTCTGGGCACAGGTGGGTGCACTGGTGGGCGGCACTAGTGGGTGGCACTGCTGGGCACCGATCATCAGGGTACTGATCATCAGTGCCCTGATGATCGGTGCCGATCCCTGCTCTGACAACTGCTGGTTCTCGGCAGTACTTTCGTTAGGCTCTGACAGCGTGAGGAAAGTTCAGACAAGAATCAGCAATTGCATTTCCCGGTGATCAGCGTGTCATTGGACACGGCTGATCACGTGGTAAAAGGCCTCTGTGATTGGCCTTTTACCACATCACATGATCAGCTGTGTCCGTAGGACACAGCCATCGTGGAGATCGCCAGGTGCACACCCCCAGGGGCGCGCAGGAGAGCGCGTTCTTGGAGGACGTCATATGACGCCCTCCCAGAACTAGCCGGCCGCAGTGTAGCTGTCATTCGGCTATCTGCGGTTGGCAAGAAGTTAAAGATTAGTGCATGTGATATGAAGGTCATGTGATCCATTTTTTTTTAGAAATATCGCATGAGATAATAAAAGAGTCAATTCATTAACCACTTCAGCTCTGACAGATTTTACCCCCGTCATGACCAGGCCATTTTTTGCTATTCAGCACTGCATTACTTTAACTGACAATTTGCGCGGTCATGCAACACTGTATACAAATTAAATTTATATAATTTTTGTTTCCACAAAAATAGAGCTTTATTTTGGTGATGTTTGATCATCACTGCGGTTTTTATTTTTTTATTATATACATGAAAAAACTGAAAATTTTGAAAAAAACAATATTTTCTATTTTCTGTTATAAAACATAAAAAATAAAAAAATCGAATTTCTTCATAAATTTGGGCCAAAATGTATTCTGCTACATGTTGGTAAAACAAAATCCCAATCAGTGTTTATCATTTAGTCTGTAGGAAAGTTATAGTGTTCACAAACTATGGTATACTGTATATATGAAAATTGATCAATCCTGATGTACTGACGGATGATTTAATTTCTTGAGGCCCTTAAAGTGTCAGGACAGTACAAATATGCCCCAAATTACAGCTTTTTGGACAGTAGACAGTCTGAAGTATTTAGTAAGAGGCATGGCAAGTTTTTTGTAGTTGTAATTTTTTATCAGAATTTTTTTTGGAGAATGAAGAAATTAAATAAAATTTGTGGGTTTTTTTGCCACAATTTTTTTTTACATACTGTCACCAGCACAGTAGAGGGTCATGATATTACTGGTGTGGCGGTCATCAGGGACATTGACTGGTGTCCCTGATGAACTGACAGCATGTTAAAAAAAAACAAACAAAAAAAAATGTTTTAAATAATTTTTGAGTCAAGATTTTATTTTTTTTTTTCACATTTTTATTAATATTTTTAAAAATGTAAAAAAATACTTTCATCACCATAGTAACATTGTACTACTCTTGGGGGGTAATCAGGGATATTTTTTTTTTTACACTTTGATTGCTAGTACAGTGAAGATCATTGCACCAGCAATTATTTGAATTGTCATGAATGAGTTAAGTTCATGACAGTTCAAAATTCTAGTAATCTGTGATTGGCTACAGCTAATCACATAATCCATAATCCAGGGCACTGTGATTGGCCCGGATACCATGTGATAGCTGTGTGCCAATCTCCACTTACTAGTACCAGAAGCAAAGCTGTTATGAATGAAATTCATAACAGTTTTTTGTTGACATTGCTATGTGATCACATGATCACCGAGTCCCAAGTACACAGCAGTCGCGGGGGGCGCACCCCCTAGTGTCAGTACAGGCAAAATGACATACAGGTACTTCGCTTTGCCTGTACATGCCGCCTGCCCGCAATAAAAATGCTGTGGGCGGTCAGCAAGTTGTTAAAGTAAAATATTGAATGTGAGGTAAATACCGCACATTTGTTAAAAAAAAAAAAAAAAAAAGAAATCATTAAAGTAAATTGACCGAAGAACACACACATTCATTATTTATCACCTGCCTGTAAGCAGTAGGTATTTTAGCAAAATACAAAATAACAATGAGGGGAACTCTGCACTGGCCTGTAAACGTATACAATATATCAGTGTAGAAATGTTCTGTCCTGAGCTCAGGAATGAAATAAGTTGTAAAAATCACCAAAGGGAGATTGTTCTATGAATGAAAGTACACTAGAATGTTTTCACAGTTTGTGTGCATTTATTTATTCCTCTGGTGAAGTGTTAGCATGTTAAACAAAATTGTGAAAAACCGCCAAACATGATGCTAAATTTAGGTGATAAATATCACAAAACAGAAGTATTTAACACATCTAGTAAATGATGCATGTTTTTTAGTGAATTGACTACTTTTGAGATAAATACTTCATGAGTTATTTTAACTCAAAAATTCACGTGGTACTTATCTCTTAGTGAATTGACCTTATAGTCTAAATATTTTGTTCAATAATGTTGTAGTTTTGCACAATTGCAATACTGAAAGCAGATTTAAAGTCAGTCCATCACACACAAAGTACACCATCCTCACCACATTAGCAGTGTTCCCCTCTCAAATCTATACTGACAGTCTTTTCCCCTCTTATCTGGTAAGGCCAGCAATAATCACCAAGTCTCTTACCCCTGTCACTGGTTTCAGTGTTGGGGACCGCTGATCCAGCACAGCAATGGCACCTCAAAATCACTTGTCCCTTACCACCCCCCTACAATGACAGTTCTCTTCTCTCTCCCAAGAGGACTCTAGCGGCAGCCATCCAATAGGAATTGTCCATTGATCTCAGAGTTGGTCTTTAAAGCAGAACTGAAGTGTTTTCTTTGAATGTACCCTGAGCTGCGCATGCCCAGCTCAGTGTACAGTCTCGGCATGCCTAGGAGAAAGATCATTCCAGCCCATCCCATCAAGGTGGCCAGGTATTTTGAACCCTAAAGAAGTCTGAGAACAAATGGAAAAATGATGAACGTGTTGGCGACTGAGCAAATAGTGATCACAGCTGATGTATTGCAAGAGAAGGGCACTTTGCAAAGCAAGTCTACCATAATGTGCAGATATGCTGAGCAGACTTGCACGATATTGCAAGAGCTCCTGGATCCCCAAAATGTATTATAGATTTTGGTTGAGCCTCAGTGGACTTAATCATTGACTTTCTTACATGTCAGAGATTTTTATAACCTGATCTTGTTACAAGAGGTTGTGTTTCTGCCTCCCTACCAAGGCTGTTATAATGATGTCATAGCTGGATTCCCTAGTCTTTCTGTTTTTCTTCCTTTTAACAACTCTGCTGTAGGAGTTTGACTCTATACCTTGGCTTTGGCTTTGCAATGACCACAGTGATAAATATCTTGAATACTGGAAGGGGTTATTTCACCTTAACCTTTGTTCATATTTCATGTCCGAGATTCACAAACACTTTTCAGACTACAAAGTAATACATATACAGTATTTTTTTTTCTTAGGACAAACAATGCTTTCTTTTGGTGATATTTTCTTGCAAAAATTACTTACAATTTTTATGCAATCTGTAGACAAAAAATAAAAAAGCTTAAACACACCTTTTTCACCTTTATTCAAACCATTGTAGGGTCAAGATCACCAAATCTCAATGTGCCAAGATCACTTTCTCATTTTGATTCAACAGCAGAATTTCCTCCAGATAGGAATAAATGCGAACACCCTGCTCCTAAAGATGAGCAATCAAGGTGAAAAGCACTTTAGCAAAGGCTCTCAGGGATGTGTTAAGGCTAAAGAGAAACTGGCAGTGTAACTGGCCGAATACAAAGCTTAAGAATTTTTGGAAATGTGGGGCGACTGGGACATGCAAATATGCATCTTTCAGATCAGTACATCTGAGCCAGTGTGTAGCCAGACTGTAGCCAGTCGCCCAGCTGCACTACTTTCTTTTTCAATAATTTCTATTGAAAATTTACAGCACACATCCAGAGACACCATCCAGCACAACACAGAAATGACCTCAGTCAGCCTTGTACACAGTAAAAGGGCAGTATCTGTTGGTAACATAAACAGCATAATAGAATGATAATACCAAGCGGCTGCACTAGTTTCAAGGATTCTATCTTGAAATGGTCTTTTTTGATATACTGTATCTGTTCAGAACCTTCAGGTCTATTACAGGTCTCCAAGTTCCTGGCTTTTTCTGCACCAGAAACTGAGCTGAATATTATTATTATACAGGATTTATATAGAGCCAACAGTTTGCTCAGCACTTTACAATATAAAGGGAGACAATACAGTAACGGTACAGTTCAATGCAAGAGGGTTAAGGGGGCCCTGCTCCTTGGAGCTTACAATCTAAGAGTACTCCGTGAAAAACACTCACAATGCGGAACAAGCACAATCGCTTCCTGCAGCAGGGTGCTCACATATGAGAGAAGGACATTCTTCTGTAGGTTGCAGGGGGATAGATTTGTTGAAACAAAACACATTCTTGGGTACTTGAGAACATTCCAAAAATGCTCAAGCCGGACAGTGTTCAGGACCCAGCAATATTTTATCTTGTCCGCCCATACCCACCGGAACATTTGCAGCCTGGCACCTCCAGCCAAGGAATTAGTCCAGGGCCTACGCAACTCCCCACCTCACCTATAGGGCCTTGCAGCCTTACAAATGGCTTTTGTAGGCCCTCTGAAGAGACTGGCCCTTGAAGGGGATATTGAACCAACCCTGCTTTGATGAGGGGTCTGCTACCCAAGGTCTGAGCCACAGCATCACCTTTCCCATGACCGCGTTTAACATCATGTGGAAAAGGGACTTTATGATCTCAATCATCATCTTCAGTGTCTGAAGTAAGAGTATTGAAAGAGGCTAGTGTCACGACCCACGGTCGCCGCCACCAACAGGCAACAATCGCAGCCGCGACTAACAGTAATACATCACGCCCACGGCGTCAACCCCAGACCTTCTCACTAAACTCGTGACCGAAGGGCCGGCCGAACCAAAACCGCGGTGTGACGCGCGTAACAAGGCCCCACCCAGCTGCACCCTACACAGCGATTGCCCAGCTAATGGACTACAATCGGTGCCTCCAGCCTGAATGCGCTTGTTACTGGGTCTGGTTAGTTACGCAACTAACCCTCTATTGCCACCACCACTTTTGTCGGAGACTGGGAAACTCCCGTTATGAAATATACACTATAATGATTGAAATATTGATCTATATAGCACGGCCCGCGGACCTGCTATACAGAGATATAACAAACCG